GGCCGGCGACTAGGAAGAGCGGGCTCACCAGCTGCACGTTCTCCAAAGCCCCGTCAATTTCGGTTGCCTCCAGGAGCCACTCGAGATGCTGCGCAGCCGGCAGAATGGCCCTGCCTTCCACACGGTGCTCCAAGAGGAAGTGGCCGTCCTCCAGGCACAGCGGCCAGGAGGCCTCAAGCCTCCAGGGCAACCTCCGTGCGCTGCGTGCCAGAGCCATTGGGGTGGCCTGCGAGCGCAACGAGTGCGGCTGTTGGCGCAGCTCAAAGGACTGCTGGTCGAAGGGGTAGTTGGGGAGAGATGAAAACACTGAGAAAGGGATTGGAGACGGTCTGAAGCTGGCAGCGAAGTTGGCCCAGTTCAGCTTGTAGCCAGAGGTGTAAAGCTTCGCCACCATTTCCAAAAGAGCACTCAACAAAGAGAATCCACTCACAGGAAGTCGCTCCGGTCCAAGGTAAAGGGCTCGGATGCGAATTGCTGGGACTTGGGCCTGAGCTAGAAGCGAGAAGTCAGGCTTGCCCCCAATATCCACCTTCTCTGCCTGGGCCCTGAGCAACGCCAAGTGCTGCTCTGGCAAGCCATCCAGTTGAACGGTCACCCCCCAAATGCGCAAAAGCCAAATTAGACCAACCGCCCTACCGCCGCAGTCCACAAGCTTGCGGAACAACGGATTCCACTGAACATCACTGTACTCCATATCTCCATAATCCAACTCGATGCGCACGCTGGAAATGTGTGACTGGGGAGAAGAAGCTTTGTCCTTCCTTCCAAGTGCTTCCAAAAGCGAATCAAGAGGGCCCGTGGCAGCAAACCGATTGGAAAAGTGCGAGCCGCCCGCTGCAGCTGCCAAGCAAAGATCCCACACATCCGCATTGGCACAGCTTCTGAGTTTGCACATCCACTGCGCCTTCAGCTGCGAAAGGGATGTCTCACTGTGGCCGGAAAGCACAAGAAGCAAGGAGGGGCTGCTCCCCACAGTTGCGTCCTTAAGCAACATCCGATCGGTTGTCTCCAGCAGCTGTTCTTTCTCCAGCAAGGCATGGACGTTGGTGCCACCAAGCCCGAAGTTGCTGATGCCTGCAACTGATTCACGCAAAGCAACTGGCTCACTCACGATCTCGCACCAACCTGTTCCAAGCTGGTCGGCAACCTCCGAGCTCAACTTCCGCAGCCAAATGTGCCGGGGGATGCAGCCATGCCGCAAACAGCAAATTGCACGGTGTAGCCCAATGATGCCACTGGCAGCCTCCAGGTGTCCCCACGTGGTCTTGGCGGTGCCAAGCAGCAGCGGCTGCGCGCGAGAAGCAAAAACCCCCTTCAAGGCTTTCACCTCCAAAGGATCTCCCCGTGGCGTGCCCGTGCCATGTGCTTCCAACAAGCCTACAGCTTCTGCCTCTATCCGACAGGTGCTGAGCGCCCCTTCAACGACATGCTGCTGCGAAAGGGGATTGGGCACAGTAAGGCTGCTGCTGCGTCCATCATGGGCAGTGAAGGCTGCCAACAGTGTGCCGTGGCTGCCGGACCCGTGCCGGCTCACAACAATGACTCCGCATCCCTCGCCCCGGACGTATCCATCTGCTTGGTGGTCAAAGCTGCGACACCGGCCACTTTGGGATAGCATCTTCATGTTGCATGCCTGGACCATCAGCTCAGGGCTCAGAATTGCGTTGGCCCCTAGGGCAACCGCTTGGTGGCTCCGTCCTAGCCTCAACTCGTTGAGAGCCATGTCCACAGCAACCAAGGACGAGGAGCAGGCAGATTGCACAGATACGCTTGCACCTGTGAAGTTGAATGAATGGCTCAAGTGGTTGGGAAAGAGTCCAAAGATAGTTCCCTTCGGGACCTGTGGCGAAGTACCCAAGCCAGCTAGGAACGCAAAATCTGATGTCATGTACCCTGCAAAGACTGAAATCGAGGCTGCCTGCGTGCATTCGCCTCTTGCAGGAATCCCAGAGTCCTGCAACGCTTGGTGCGTCGTCTCCAGGCTCAAACGCAGCTGCGGGTCCATGTTCAACGCACTGTCCGGCGCAATGTGGAACATTGTCGCATCGAACAGGTCCAGTCTCTGCAAATGCGCAATGCTGTCAGTGTAAATGGCAGGAAATAGTGTAGAGTCCCACCTGTCGCTTGGGATTGTACTCACACAGTCCTGGCTGTCTTGAAGAACATTCCAGAACTTGTGTAAGGAAGTGATGTCAGCGCCAGCACCGGGATATCTGAAAGCAACTCCCGATATGGCAGCGCCTGCGTAGCTTCCTGTTGCATTTGCCATGGCATCGTGGATGTGATGTGCATCGTCATAGATTCCTTGGTGGTCAGGCAAGCCATGTGCTTCTGGAAGCACTGCTTCTGCAATTGCTGCTTCTGGGAGTGCTGCTTCTGGAATTGCCGCTTCTGGTGGAAGCAACTCCAAACCGATCTGGCTAGAGTTCTTGATCAAGAACTGGCATAGCCGCCCCAGGTTGTAGTGGTCAACCAAATCAAAGTAACTCACGGAAATGCCCGTTTGCTGCGTCAGCATGCTTGCAAACCTGTTCTGATTTAGGGAATCCAGGCCGAGCTCATCAAATCCACTATCGTGCTTGACATCCTCGGGCGAGACGCCCACCAGCTCGGCAAGCAGATTCAGAACTAGATGCGAGAGTTCCCTGCTCCTTGCAATCTGTTGCTTTTCGACTCTTCCAACATCGCTCACCTCCTCCAAGCACGTCTTCTCTTTGAATTCCTGCAAGTAGACCGCCCAATTGACTTGCACCAACATGATAGGCCCCTGGCACTGCAGCAGCGCCAGCAATGCTTGGCTTCCCACAGCCGCAGGGATCTTCTGCATGCCTGCGCTCGCAGCTGGTAACATCCACAAAGAGGGTCCTCGTTTTTCAGTTACCCCGAGCCCCAACCTTCAATTCACTGCGCGCGGGCTCATTTTGATGGTTGCGCCTGGCGCCGTCCGCACATCACGAGCCATGCCCACCTCCCAGGCGCCCCAGAGAATGCTTTGCGCCGTCAATCCCTGCTGGCTCCGAAAGAAGCTCAGGGCATCCAGAAAAGCGTTGCCAGCCAGGTAGTTGATTTGCTTGAAGGATCCTGGTGCGCATTCTGATAGATTGGAGGGATGGCTTCGGAACAGTGTCGAGAGATTTGTGCGTGCAATTGCCGCTTTTGGAAGACCTCTACGGGGCTGAAGTGAAACCCACAAAACGAACGCAAACCGTCGAGCAAACCTTCACTGTGAAGGCACCACTTCACAGTGGGCGAGACCATGTCAATGTCAACCATGCCAAGTCATTTGGCGATCGGTTTGGTTGGTAAATCACGGGCGGGATGGTGCCACAGGCCAGTTGGAAGAACGTGGGACATTTGGTCAAAGGTCGGCCAGGACAAGCAAATACACCTCGCATGGACACGAAAGGCTGAACCGGCCTGAGGAGGGCAAGCAGCAAGCAGGGGCCCAACATGCCATCTGACAACAACAAGTTCTTCGATGCTACGAATTCACACATATCTCAACAATCCCCACATCCAAGTCCAACAAGTCAGGGCGGCTTTATGCAGCTCCGTGTCAACCTCCTTCTAAGCCTCCTTTATCCGCCGACCCTCGCCCAAGAGGGGAGGCGTTTGGGAAGCTTTTGTTCAGTCTTATATTCTGATATTCTTATACTCACATATTTTACAGTGCTATATTATTGTTCTTATATTCTTACAAATACATTTCAATACTGACGTTAGACATTCATCATGATGGTGATCATCATCATCATCATCATCATCATCATCATCATCATCATCATCATCATCATCATCATCATCATCGCTTTTGCTACAGGCTGATTGAGCTGAAAACAGCCCCAACACATCAATTTTAGACAGCGAAGCTTTGTCTCAACACAAAACATGTTTGCTTCATGCTGCAGGCTCGAAGCATCTGAATCATGCTGTGTAGCGTTGGCCCCAAACAGGATGCAAAGCATGCCATGATGATAGTTCTCATCGTCATCATCATCACCATCATCACAATCCTCATCTCTTTTGCTACTGTGATAGTTATCATCGTCATTGTCTTCTTCACAGCTGGCAAGAGAAAACGGGCCACCCCAAGGGCAGCGGCAACAGCCTCGGCATCATCTGCAACATCCGTAGTTTAAATTGCAGCCGTTGAAAAACATGAAACTTGCTGGCTGCCAGGTGTCCGACGCAGGTGCGACAAGGAACTCCATCACACATCAAGCGCCTATAGCTCGCAACTGGCAAGGGTCAGCAGCACTGGGCGGCAGCCCTTAAATCCGGCTACGCCTCCCGAGGTAGCATGTCCTTTCGGGGACAGATTGTGGGGGAACAGTTTGTTAAAGACTTTGTCAACTTGGGCCAGTTTTGCGCTTTTGACGTTTTCTGACGGATTCTGTCGGTTTCTGTCGGTATTTGTCGTTTTTTGTCGGATTTTGTCGGCAACTTGTCATTTTCAACGTTTGGCTTTCGTTCTTGTTCGTTCTTTTAGCTTAGTGCTTGCTGTTGTTGTTGTTGTTGTTGTTGTTGTTGTTGTTGTTGTTGTTGTTGTTGTTGTTGTTGTTGTTGCTGTTGTCAATTGTTAGTGTGACGTTTGTTGCTGGTTGTTTATTGTTTGTTGCTTGTTTGTTTGTTTGTTTGCTTGCTTGTTTGTTTGATTGTTTGTTTGTTCGTTTGTTTCTGTTTGTTTGTTTGTTTGTTTGTTTGTTTGTTTGTTTGTTTTGGTTGCTTGGTTGGTTGGTTGGTTGGTTGGTTGGTTGGTTGGTTGGTTGGTTGGTTGATTTGTTTGATTGATTGATTGATTGATTGATTGATTGATTGATGGGCTGATTCATTGATTGATTGACTGACTGACAGTTTGAGTCATTATTCATGCATTCTTTCATTCAGTCAGTCAGTGAGTCATGCATTCATTCATTTCAACCATTGAATTCATTCAGTCAATCATCCATCCATCCATCCATCCATGCATCCATTCATTCACTCATTCATTCATTCATTCCTTCCTTCCTTACATTCATTCATTCATTCATTCATTCATTCATTCATTCATTCATTCATTCATTCATTCATTCATTCATTCATTCATCCATTCCATTCCATTCCATTCATTCAATCTTTCACTCATTCATTCATTCATTCATTCACTCACTCAAAATGCAATATCTCGGCTCTGGGGTGCACTGCGGAGCGCACCCTTTTCTTGAGCCAAAACCACACGGAGTGCAATCAGCGCATTGGGCAATTATGACTATACATATCATGACTCCTCCTTGCTGGAAGAGCGTCTCTGTACACGCTCGCACAGCAATATAGGTAGCGGAGTCTGGCCAGGGACCTTAGCCTTCTAGTAGCTTAAGCTGTCCCTTGCTACGCTGGTTAAGGAAAACATAACCACACCTTCGCATGGTCTCAGACATCTGTACACCTGGAATGCTCTTTGTTAGAGCATCCGCCCTGTTGGACTTGCCAGGGGTATGCTCCACCCTCAGATGGTCCATGCTGACCCTTTCCTGCAACCACAGGAACCTCGTCTGGATGTGACGGGCCTTTCCCAGACCTGCCCGATTGACAGTTCCTTTTGCTGCAGTCGCATCTGATTGAATCAGCACCTGGGTCTCGACCGCAAAGTCCTCCAAGAGTGACTGTAGGCCTAGACCAACTGAACCTCCTTTGACAAGAGCATAATACTCCGACTCCCCAGTCGACAAAGCGATGGTCGACTGCACATTGCTGCTGTGCTTGAGCACATGCAACCCATACAGAGCAACCATGCCTGTTGTGGATCTCCTCGTTATTGCGTCTCCGGCATGATCGGAATCCACCTGGATTCGGAGCTTGCTCGGCTTGGCTTGCCGTGCAAAGACCTGACACACGTCCGGCTTCTTGATGAGGTAGCGACACAGTCGCTTCAAATCCTGCAAAGATGCCTCTGTAGGAGAAACCATCTTCCTCGCAAGATTCTTCACAGCGTGGCTGATGTCCAACCTGTCCTGTGACAGGTACGCTGCCCTCATCACGCATGAGCGATACAGGGAAGCCTGCTCTTTCGGTAGAGCTGGGCTCCGGGCTTCCTGCATCTGCAAATCAACGGACTTCTTCACGTCCGGTGTCTCCGCTCCCTTGGCATTCTCCATGCCAAGCTGCTGCACAAGCAAATCAACATGGCGTCGATCTGGCTCGATCAGGATCGCACTCGCTCCTTGATGTTGTTCACAACGAATGAGCCGGTTGAGAAAGTGGACCTCCTTGTGGTCTCCTTCCTCATCACCTATCGTCCCGAGCCATTTCAACTCGTAGGCACTGCGAAGCAAAGTATCTACTTCCTTCAGCGCCTCGGCGTCTCCTAACGCCATGAAATCATCTCCGTGCACCAGCACTCTTATTCCCAGTGTCGGGTGATAGAACACTGAGCCATTTGACTTTCCCCGGAGATATCCGGCTTTGATCAACAGCTGCGTGTAGTGCTGCTGCCATATGTTAGGGGCATCCTGTGTCCCGTACATCGACTTAGTCAAACGACCCACCATTCCCGGACTGGCGTCCTCGTCCGGCAACTGGATGTATATGCGGCGTTTGGGTACGCCATAAAAGTGGGCTCTTGATATATCCCAAAGTCCGATCTTGAGTGGTCGTCCTCCATGGGATACACGCTCAGTGGCCCATAGGCTACATAGCAGCCTCATAGCCTCTAAAGGCGGTGTTGACGAAAACAGCATGTTCTGAGGAATCCTTTCCTCTGGACTCTTCCGGGCCTTGATCTCCCGGACCACCAATCTCGACCTGAAGTTGGGATTGGCGGGGTCTCCCTTGTTGGTGTCTATCCAACGGGTGGTGATTGGACCCTTCCCGTTGGTCTCTCTGAGGCATTCCTCGAGCGGCACCTTCTCGTAAACCTCTTGCTTCCTAAGATAGTCCAACTCGAGCTGACGTGCCTCCCTGACTCGGTCTGGTGGCAAAAACCCACCATTCACGTCGTCCCAGTACTGCTCCACGTCTTCCGGCGTCACGAAGCTCTCCTCTGGGATTGGACCTGCAACTGCTGCGTCCAATGCACTCAACTGGCCACTCTCTACAAGGTGGCTCTTCAAAGTCTTCAGGACCGCTCGCACTAGCGCTGGCGGATAACGGGCCGCCGGTCTAGCGAGTCCTCCGATCAGGTGGATGTGCCGGTGCCATGGTTTCCCCGGCACATTGTTGGTGCATTCGCCCTCCAACAGTTGGGCCAAACCTGGATGGTTGGTCATCCAGCCAGTTTCTTTCCGCACATATCCTGTGCCCTGCAAACCCCTCCGGTCCGTAGCGACCATAGCCCATCTGCACATTGGGCCTCGGACAGTGTACACGTCCGGTCTCTCAGTGAGCTCACGGACCTCCGGGTCTTTCCAAGAGGTAGCACTCCACGGTGCCTCATGCAAGAAGAACCTACCTGCCTGCAACTGCTTCCTGTAGAACCTACAGGCGGTATGCAAATGAGCAACTGCTCTATCCATCTTCTCGCGCCTCTTGTCTGGGCTCACCCTGTACTTGTTGATGTTCTGGAGCTGGGAGAATTGGTCACAAGGTGGGCTCCCTGTGAGCAATGTCGGCTCGACCTCGTCCACATACTCCTCGAGCTCTCGGACGTCCTCAGTCTTGCTGAGATCCCAGTAGGAACCGTCCGGTTTCTGCTCCTCAAGGTCTACCGCAAAGCCCGGCCTCAAGCCATACTGCCCGGCTTGGGCCGTGAACCGCTTCGGGCTGTAGATCTCCATGATATCAACAGCGCCCATCTCCACGCACAGCTTGGTGATCTGCTCCAGCTCGACCGCGTTGATCTCCACCTCCTGAGCCAAAAACGCTCTCTCTACTTTCCGTCCAACCATGGACTTCAACATCCTCTTCAATCGACCCAGTTCAAGTCCACCCACGTCTGGGGGCTTGTCCGGGGTGTTTGAAGTCTCGGCGTCAGCCGCCGGTTGAGTCTCCGTTCGGAGTTCTTCAGGAGATACTGCGGGCTCTCGCTTCTCACCTTGCTTCTGCTGCGTCTTCTGCTTGGCTCCGGGCGCTATATACAGCGCTCCCGGTCTCTTGATCTGCGTGGTCGGCTTCGCCTTGCTCTTTGGGCTACTCGATGCTGGCGGGTCTGCTGCTGCTCTCTTGAGTTCAGCCCTCTTCGCGGGATCCTCCACATACTCCATCACTTGTCCAGGGTCTTGCCTAGATCCTACTCCGGCCTCAGCGGCCGGCTCTCCCATGGCCTCTTGGGCTGGGAGATCTGCTTCCACTCCTACCTCCGCGGTCTCCTCTCTTTTCCTTTTGTGAGCTTCGACACGGCGTCGTCCTTGCTCATCATCCATCATGAGACCGACGATTCTCGCTCGGCACATCTCAGTGTGCGGCAACTGAGTG